TATAAGAGACAGTATATATACTTCTAAAAGTCGTGTATCATGCATAGGAACGTTGACGCCTGCAAGGCTCTGGTTTATAAATAAAATTTAAATACAAATTTAAATAAGTAATTTTAAATGTAGTCTTTATTTGGTGTATGGTGTTTCTTTACTTTCATTGGTCTTGTCCTTGTAGTATGTCCGTCATAGAGCATCTGTGGTTCTACGCCCGTCTGAAAGGTGCATCTGATAAAGACGTCCTCATTGAAATGGAACAAATACTTGAAGACATCGGGTTGCCACACAAACGACATGAGCTCTCCAAGAATCTCTCGGGTAAACAAATAATGCCAATTCTAAATTTAGTTTTATTCTAAAAACAAATTACTTATTTGGTTTCATCTGTCTAATTGTAATTTTCAATTTTATTTAGTTTAGTAACTTAACATGATGCTATTAAATGAAATGTCCATTTTTTATTTAAATTTTGAAAGATTAGGCTATGTTCAGACACGAGTTGTGCTTGCGTAACGTTACTTGAGTGGTGTGAACCTGTACGCGGAATGAACGTCAGTATTAACTCGCAATCACTGGCTTACAATAATCCACCTAAAGACCCCAGATTAGCATACGCCACTGAGTGACGACAGTCATGCATCTGTGATTTTGTATTTGGCCAGGAATTGTCCAATCACAATAGGCCTAGATGTAAACAAGAAATAAAAATGCGTGATTATGAATACAAATATTTTGTGTGAATACTTACGCTAGCTTTAGTTAATCGCCCAATCTGGACATCTCTCTGTAGTTACGCCTTGGATTAACGTACTCCCACTTTCATTTTGAGTGACCTTAGCTAGAATATCCAAGATACGGTACTTTGTGGAAATGTCAGTTGTATTACATTGTTTGCGTTTTGCGTTTTGCTTAAGCTGTCGCTTGTTTTCTTCAGGTGGTATGAAGCGCAAGCTATCTATTGCTATGGCTTTCGTTGCTGGATCTCGAACTGTAGTCTTAGATGAACCAACTGCTGGTGTTGACCCTTATGCACGTAGGGAGATTTGGGATCTTTTGAGCAAGTATCGAAAAGGTGAGAAATTATAAACCATACATTTTTACATGATATACTTATATTTCTACATTCACAGCCTAGGAAATCATCAGAGGGGCGCTTAAGTCATTGGAATCCTTGTTTATGAGAAGTCAGGGGCGATGCATAACTCATCAGACAGAACTGTGCACACTTTGTGTTTATAGCTGGAGGGCTCAAATACAAGTTACAATAGCCATTGGTCCTGTGTGCAATATGGCCCATGTGTGCATTTTGAAGTATGCAGTACACTTTTCAGAAAAAAAAATTAGGGCATTATCTCTTCCCATGTATTTCCCATTTTACCACCAGGGTCACCCTAGTGGAAACAAGTATTCAAACTTAATGGGTTGGTGTTAGTATGTTTCACACCAAAAATAATCCAATCCTAAATTTGTCCACTGTTGTTATTAAGGATTGGAGTTGAAAAGCTCAGTGGTTAAGATGCTTGCCTTCTAATCCCAGGGTTCTGGGTTCAATTCCTGTCAAGGCAGGAATTTTTCTCACGACTAAAACCAACTCCACTCCCTAAGCCTCATAAAGAAACTTGGTTTATAAAGCATCATTCTCATCCTGTAAGTGGTGAGTGTACTTGCTGTTGAATGTGAAGGGAAAAAAAATATCAATGCTATTCCATGATTATTTCATTAATAATCATGTTTTCTCAAACTTCAGGCCGAACCATCATCATGTCCACCCATCACATGGATGAGGCTGATATTCTGGGGGATCGTATTGCGATCATCTCTCAGGGTAAACTCTGCTGCTGCGGAACATCGTTGTTCCTGAAGAGTCGATTCGGACAGGGTTACTACTTGGTGCTTGCCAAACGGGTCGGTAAAGGCAACCCAAAGATAGCCGACTTGGAGATGAAAGTCAAAGGGGTAATGGATATTCCCGCCTTAAATGACATCACAGTGAGTTCCCATTGGTTTAACTTAGCAATACATAAATTCAATATATGAAAGTATTTAGGATTATCAAGCTACTTCTAGCAATACATAAATTCAATATATGAAAGTATTTAGGATTATCAAGCTACTTCTATAATTGTTTGTCTTTGGCTAGTTCCTTTGTCTTCTTAACAAATTTTTAGTTGTATTGGTATAGTAGTAACTTTGAGTTTTTTTATCATAATTGAGTCAAATGGTATTAATTTTTATGGAAAAAAGATATAGATGATTTTATTTGTACAAGATACTTCCTGTCTTCAAAGAGTATGTGTTGTAAAATTAGTTAATTTTGTTGTCAATTTTATAGTTTTTTGTTATCAATTATGCTAGATGATACAGTTAATTTACATGTGATTCATTGATATTGATAACAATTGGTATTTTTTAGCTGAATCTTGAAGATCTTGATAAAGATGAAGGTGTAGGCTCTGAAACAGCGTCAGAATCTGCAACTGAATATCCAGTTAATCTTGAAGGAGCTACTGGGGCTTGTGGGGGTACTGACATAACAGGTAAGCATATATCAAGAGAGAACAACACCCCCTCTCACAACTCTGTCATAATTCTTGTGTCTATTTTGTGAATACTTACCTCGATGAACTTGTATATTTTTGTTTCTGGGATGAAAATCACCCAAATAATTTAAATGATAAATTTTACAAGACGATCTTAGTATGGGAAGGTGGGTAAGTGTTCATTTAGATATGTATCTTACTCATAGGTTACTAACATTGCCATTAATTTTTCTTAAATATTCTCACAATTTTCTCAGATCATGGCCATTGCTCGGAGGTAGAACTAACAAAATTCATTCAGCGCCACATCCCAGATGCAAAGGTCAATGAGACCTTTGGTACAGAAGTCTCTTACATCCTGCCAACATTGGCAGCCAAAGGAGGTGCCTTTGAAGCTCTTTTCAAAGATCTGGAAAATAATTTAGATCTTCTACACATCAACAGCTATGGTATCTCAGACACAACTCTAGAAGAGGTATGTATATTATTGTTCTAATTTTAAAATAAACTCATGTATTTAGACTTCAGATATATGATAGTCATTTTGATAATAAAAATATGCGCTTTTATAACAATATTTTTTATATGTAATGAAAGTTTAAACTTTTGATCACAACACAAACAAATTTCCTTACCGTGAAATTTTCAACTGTATACCACGGTCTTCCTCAGCACAATAACTGGAATGTGACTTGAAGGCTACACCGATTTAGGGTGATCTTACGAACATGTGACTCTAAAATGATACGAAGAGTACATTTTATGACTAATGTTATATTTTGTAAATATTTGTGAATGAATTATAATATGAAGTTTTTTTTTGTTTTGTTTTATAATATATTTTCACATAATAATACTGCATTTAATTATGTATCTGAATATTGCAATTATATTTTGTCAAGCATGAGTATAGTTTTTAGTATTTTTTATATGTATTATATGTTTATAATTTTGTCTTGAATACTTAGGTATTCTTGAGTGTAGCTGAAGAGACAGGAGTAGACTCAGCTGAAGGGGAGATCTTGACTGACAGTGGCCGTCTACCGCGTCCCTTCCTTGGTCGTGGCAGCTTACGTAGACGAAGCTATCGTATGCCCAATTTGAGTTGCTCCGATGATCAGCAGACTTTGTTAGATGATGATGGTAAGGAAGAATTGCTTGACTTTTGACTATGTAGCTAAAGTTCATTGCTTTGATAGAATACTAAAACATAATACTTTAGCATGAAATGTAATTGATACAATAGGAATATGCTTGACTAATAGAGTAATTAGTTGGAGGGATTGGGAAGGACGAGTAGAATGGGAAGAAAATGTTTATCATTTAGAGTTATATATATTGTAACGGACCTGGTCCTTGTCAAGAAGACCACGGGTTCGGCCAGAGTACAATCGTGATCACTCACCCTTAATTACTCCCACGTAACTTCAACAATACAGGGGCAGACAGATAGAAACCCAAACAGGTACCCTTATCTTACGGATCAGCCCACTTTACTACTGGAAGTCAATGCAACTGTCCCAGACAAATTCTCAAGCATCAATCCTACCCTCTCCCTAACAAAACTCAACTGAAGTAGTTAATTTGCATAACTTGCCCAAAACAACAGGGCTTTGGAGGGCTAGTCTAATTTAAACTAAGTTTGGGCTGATCCACTTCCTATCTGGGTTAATCCATTCCCCATGACCTGGGTGACTCTGGGGAAATACCAAATTCTGTTACAATATAATGGGGCATGACCATGGATTGATTTTTGTGTGGGAAGAATTTTATGCACTAATAACATGTAGTTGTACGTCAAAAGTAGAACGATATAATATTTACATAACCCAAATGCTATAATTTATATTGACTGAGAACGTGATTCTTGTAGAGTGTGATAATGTCCACCTCGAGGCTCTCAATCGTGAAGAACAAGAAGAGGATGTGTTTCCTTCAATAGCGGAAACAGAAAAAACATCAACAACACCAACTACACCGTCTGAAGTAGACATTCTCGATGAAGGTGCAGTGTCGTTCGGTTCTAGGAAGCAACACAGGAGTGAGTGCCAAAAATGTTTTCTGCTTTCTGTTTTATTACGAGGCACTGATTTGAAACTAGAAAGCTCTGCATTCCTAGGGTAGAATTGCTAATGAAGTATGGGGTGAAGGTATCCTAGAAATACTAACTTTTTTTGCAAAACCTGCAACTAGCAATTTCAAAATTCAGGCTTATACTGCATCTATTTAGATAAGAATAATTTAATCATTTCACACAATAAGAAGAGTACATTGTATGACTGATGTTACAGTATATTTTGTAAATATTTGTGAATGAATTATAATATGAAGTTGTTTTTTTTTTAATAATATATTTTCACATAATAATACTGCATTTAATTATGTATGTGAATATTGCAATTATATTTTGTCAAGCATGAGTATAGTTTTTAATCTTTATATGTTCATAATTCATATCTTTTCTTTTGATGTATATGTATTTGGGGAATGTCCCCTATACCACTGGTGATTTGTTTTTATCGTAAACACTTTCATGTCATGTAATACTTGTAATTCCCAGTCACATAATAATCTGATTATATGATTGGATTGTTAATTGTCACCTAATCAATATCACATTCAGTGGTGTGCCGGAGTTTGTGGCGCCCGGTGGTGACTGTTATTGGGACCCTAATAAGCGAGCGGAGTAAGGGTTAAGTTTGCGAGCGGAGCGAACAAACAAACGCTGGGGCCAGGGGACCATGTAGGGCCCTGGTCGGGGTCAAAGAGATGAAGGCTCATGGTGGGGGTCTGAGGGAGCTTCCCCCCCTCGCGCTCAGAGGTTATGGCATTTATGAACTGATAACTGCTTTGCCAGAGAACATAGGATGGGGACACCATGCTCGTCTCGCGCGACATCGATCAAGTATGATTCGCAAGACATACTCCAACAAAACAAAAAAATGCAGCGATCATTTATATGAGCCCTGAGATAATGTGGTTTCTGTATGATGATGCCCGAAGGTGACGCCACTGATCACATGTCAATTCAAAATGATGTCACTTTTTTTAAGTAGCAGTGGCTTCACACAGGATTTTTTGATTATCATTACTTTATATTCCTTTTCAAAACATACAGCAAATATACAACAGACTCCAACTGCAGATAACATTCCCTATAATACCAAGTCAGCACCCCTAAGCCTGCACAGCACGGATGCTTTACCCCTTACCAACGGTGGAGGGGACAGGAAAAGAAAGGTTGATGCAGTGGGAGATACAACAATCCGACCAGTTCATAAACGATCAGCCTCCAAGGTTTCGTTCCAGTTAGATGATGGCGACAGTCCATCTGAAGAGGCCACTGGTATGGGCTCCAATTCACATCTGTTTCTGGCTTGTTCTCACCTGCTGTTGGAATCTCTCAAATTCCAAAACTAAAAGATCAATGTCCTAACGCTTTATTGCACACATATGCTTGAACTCCAATATTCATGGGATCAAATCAACACAATAATTCAGTATAATTTAATAAGTTTGTATGCTTTACTAATGCCGATTCACACAAGACCTGTTTTATCTTTCTTGAGACACATGCTCAACATTTCATGGACTTCCCAAGATATTGTCGTCACACATGTGAAATTAAAATTTTGCTGAAAGTTTGTAAAGTAAATACACAGATAGTAAAGATGTGCACTGCTCCACAATCAGAGAAGCTCCGCACCCTTTAAGCATGTGCACAGATCCATGTTATATATCTTGAGCCCTCTCCACACTATTCAATTTTATTGGACAAAAACATGTCATCACATCACATCACATCAA